GGGTGAGGAAGAGCTCAGACGCTGACACATACTGGCTGTGAAACCCTAGGCTGCAAGTTCAGCGCCCAAACAATTCTCTATTATAAATTACAGAGCACTTGCAAATCTCTATCAGTAGAGGGAGTTCCTTCATCAGAAATTCCCTATACCAATAAAATGACAATAAAGGGGGGGGAGGACACACCAATCATGAGGTTTCAGACATTATATTTGATCACCTCAGTTTTCTCACCTGTAAAATACAGGAGTTGGGCCTCCAATGTCCCTTAGAGAAAAGGCATAAAAGGATTCTGCCCACAATATTCCCTGTCCAGACCAAATTAGATTAAAATGCAACTGGTGAAATATTTAAAATAAATCAAAACAAAACAAAGATAATATGAATTTGTGGTTTTCCAAGTCAATACACATCCCACAGGGCTTTTTACTTGCTTCTAGCCCCATTGCCTTACAGCTCTAAATTTGTGATCAATGTGGTTATCTCATTTCTCTGTTTTGCAGGCAAAACTCAAGCATCCTGCCTATAAAACTTAATTCAACACTTCAGGGATCTGTGATTTCATTGGTTAAAATATTGCTTCCACTGAGGCAAACTGCAGTCTTTCTGCTTCAGCGGACACAGTCTTTCAAAGATTGTGGCCAAAAGCTTCAACACTCAAGTCTATGAATGATTTGCCATTAGTTTTGTATAATCAAGCAATGTGTGTCCTCTAATAAAAAAAGAGACAGTCTATCCCAGGGGTGGGGAATCTGTGGCCTCAAGGCCACATGCGGCCCTCTAGGTCCTCAAGTGCAGCCCTTTGACTGAATCTGAGGACCTAGAAGGCCACGTGTGACTTCAAGGCCGCAGACTTCCCAACCTTGGTCTATCCATTAGACTCTAAGCTCTTTGAGGGCAGGGACTATGTTTTGCTTCTTCTTGTATCCCCAAATCTTAGCACAGGTGCCTGGCACGTAGTAGGTGTTTAGTAAATGTTAACAATCATTGGTACCATAATCAAAGCATTAATATTATTATGATCCCCATTATACAGGTAAGGAAACAGACACCCAGGGAAAAGTGACTTACCCAGGATCAAAGAGTTTGTAAGTATGAAAGGTAGGACCCAAACCCACTTCTCCTAATTCCAAGTCCAGGGTGCTTACTTCTACCACAACTGGGGAAGCTTTAAGAGTGGACATTACAAAATACCAGTCTAACCTTTGCGTAGAGAGTAGCTCTAGGTGGGAGGGATTGTTTGGCTTTGAGCACTTTTTATCATTGGAAAAAAACAGAACTGCTTCAAAAAAGCCTGCTCACTCTGGTACTGAGGATCTCTGACAAAAACACTTGCTTTTAACCACTGGAGATATTGATCAAATTTGAAACTCTTGCCATCACTCAAGATGCTGGATCAACCACTTAGGATTAGAGAAGCATATCCATTGATCTGAGCATTCTGAGGCTGGTCCTTTATTTCTAGAAGGTGGTTATAAAAATGCCACTTTTCAAGGACTTCTCACATACTGAAGAAATTGCCATATAAAATTGCATGGTGTGAGGAAAATCATAAAACTGATATTCATCTAAAACAATGCTAAATGGAAATCTAGATTTTTTTAAAAAAAAACTCCTCCTGTTTACTTATGAGTTTAGTGACTATTCCTTTCACAATTTGCCTATCTCCCCAGACCAAAGTCTTGGGGTGATGCTCACCAGTCCCCATCACTGCCCTTTGCCACCCCCTGTTGCCTTCCATGCAGGCCATTGCCAATACCTGTTCCCGTTACCCAAACAATCTTTCTGAGATCTGCTGCCTTCAAAGTTCTCCACTGGGTTTTGACTTTGCTCCCATCTGGGTTAGGATAGCCTCAAAATCCTGGGCTCAGGCTCATTTTACAGATTAGGAAACAGAGCCCTCAAGAGGTAAGTCAATCTGCATAGATCACAGGAAAAGTTAAGTGGCAGAACTGGAAATCAAATGAAGAGATTCTGACTCTGAGTCCAATATCCTATGCAGTGAGCCATGATGTTCTTGCTAGGGTTATTTGCCAAGGATTGAGTGAATTCAATTCAATTCACTTATTAAAAATCTACTGTGTACTAAGCAAAAAGATAAAGACAAAATTATTCCCAGTCCTCAAGGTGCTTATGCTATACTGGGGAGTCTAATGGCTCATATGAATGAGAATGGAGTATATATACACATATGTATATGTATATATATATATACACATATATATATATAATATACTACATATGTTTATATATAATAAATATATATACATAAATATATATGTGTATGTATTTTATATATATGTATATATATATATGTACACACACATATACATATAACTATTTCTATATAACTGATTTACTTGGTAATCCTAAGATTATGCATTTAAAACATTATTCTGAGAAGGGACCCATGATAGGGAAAAGGTTTAAGAACCTTATATCTACAAGAAAATGAGACCTTAAAGGGTTATTTAGTTTATCTCCCTACTTTTACAAAAAAAGAAATCTAACATCTGGAGAAGTGATTTGCATCATCCTCCCCTACCATGTTCCACTTAGTAGCTGAATTTCTGTCCCTGAACCTGGGCCACCCCCTGACTAGGGATCTTCATACCAACCTGACGCTTAACTTCCCATCTGTCTACATTGGCTGCTACTTAGAGCTTCATCAAAGAAATGCCTATCCTGGCCTTCCTTGGAGAGACAGCCAGGGTCTGGGGCCATGTTTCTCCCTTTTGCCATCATCAGTCACAATCTGCCTGTTCTTTCCTTCCCATGGATTAATGGTCAGTGTTCAGAGGTAAGGGTGGACCCTGCCCTAAGCAGCTGCTGGCCTTGCTTCTATGTTCAGATGTCTAGTCTTTGCTTAATTAATTAATTCTGAGAGTGGGTCTCAATTCCTAGGTTTGGCATGCCTTAGTCTTGCCAAATACACTGTCACTCAAGCATGGGTTTTGATGCCTTCTTTTTCTCACCTCTAGCTGAGACTACAGAATCTCAAGATCATAAGATGAAAGAGCTAGAAGGGACCTAAAAGTAAAAAAAAAAAAAAGTTAATCCTTTCTCCTTAGCCAATAGCTACTTCTATAGTTCTTGGAGACCCATACTTAAGGATCTATGATTTCAGTGGCATGATGGCTCCCTCAGATACAGACTGAATCTAGTCGAACTCAAACCTAAAGAAAAATCTCCTTTACAACATCTCTGACAAGTAGTCCTAGATGCTCTTCTTGAATGCTTTCAGTGACAGGAAACTCACTAGCCCATGAGGTACCCCAGTCCACTGCTGGACAACTCCAATCATCAGGAAGTTTTTTCCTCATGTTGAGCCTAAACCTGGGATTCCATAACTCCCACCTATCATTGTTTCTGGTTCTATCCTCTGAAGCCAAGCACAATAGATTAGATCCTTCTATCACTTAACAATCTTTCAGATAATTCAGTTTCCCTAATTCTCTTTATGGAAATACAAAAGCAAACATTATAGCGGGGAGTATAGTGGAAAGAATGCTGGATTAGAGTCAAGAGGCTCTGGGTTCAAATCCTGGCTCATTCTTTTATTCCTTGTGCAATAATTGGTAAGCTATTTAAAACTCTCTGGGTTTCCTATTCTATAAAATGAGAGGCTTGGGTTTAAATGTTAGATCTGAGGTCCAATGAGCAGATTGCTATTTGTACTAGTAAAGAAAGTATTCACACAACTGAGATCATAGCATTTACATAAATAAGGCTTTAAGGTTTGGAAAATGCTTTACATATACCATCTTCTATATATGATCCTCATCACAGCACAGTGAGGTAGGTCATAATTATTATCCACATTTTGCAGATAAGGAAACTGAGGCTCAAAAAGGTTGTATGATTTGCCTAAAGTCATATACTTAGCAAACACCTGAAACAAGATTTGAACTCAGGTCTTCCTGACTCTAAGTCCAATGTTCCTCACACTGTGCCACCTAGTCATACCTGTCTTATTTTTCCCTATCAGACTAGAAGCTCCATGAAGAAAGGCATCATCCATAACTTATTTGTATCTTCTTTCTCATACTGCGCTGCTCATAGTAGACGTTTAATAAAGGTACCTATTGTGTGAGATATAAGTTCCTTGAAGATTGTTCTTACTGAATTGTTTCAGTCCTGTCCAGCTCTTCATGACTCCATTTTAGGGTTTTCTTGGCAAAGATACTGGAATGGCTTGCCATTTCCTTCTCCAGTTCATTTTACATATGAGGACATTGAGGCAATCAGGGTTAAGTGACTTGTCCAGGGTCACACACCCAATAAAGTGTCCGAGGCCAGATTTGAACACAGGAAGAGGAGTCTCCCTGACTCCAGGCCTGGCGCTCTATCCACTGAGCCACCTAGCTTCATATCTTTGAAGATATGGGTTGGACTAACAATTACCATTGTACCCTCAACTCCTAGTAAAGTGTTTTATACAAAGTGAGTGCTTATTAAGTATTTGTTGACAGAATTTGTTGAGGAATGACAGAATGCATAGATTTGGCAGGCCAAACACAACAAATAGAGCTGTGCCCCCACACCAGCCAATGAATACAGAACCAAGTCATTGATACAACAGGTTTCATAAAGGCTATTCGAAAGAACAGTTTCTAAATATGCTTCCTCATGTTTCTTCTTTCTTTCTTCCTTCTTTCCTTTCTTTTTTCTTTTTCTTTTCTTTTTTTTTTTTTTTTGGCAATTAGGGTTAAGTGACTTTCCCAGGGTCAAATAGCTAGTAAGTGTCTGAGGCCAAATCTGAACTCAGGCCATGCTCTTTCGGGTGTAGGAGAGATAGACAGAAAGAAAGAATACAGCACCCAGGAAAGCAACTAGACCAGAGTGAAAAGGCCAAGGCCAAAAGGCAGAAAAACAGCAAAAATGTGCATGGGTCAGAATGTGAAGAATTTGGATCAGCAGCTGAGTCTGAGCCCATCTCTCAGCAGGGAAATGCTATCTGGTGTGCAGCCCTGTGAAGCCCAGCCCCTCACACATACCGCACCTCTAGCACAGCAACTTCCTGCCCATTTCGAAGCAGACGGAACGTCAAGGGGTGTTTGGAATCCAAGCCTGGAATCACTTCACAGCCGCGGAGAGGAATGGAAACAATGTGTGTCTTCAGGTCCGTCCTGTCCTTGTGGAAAATGAGCTTGTTATCTTTCACTCTGCACCAACGTTCCCGCCAGCGGTTATTTGAGAGCACGTTTAGATATCCTGCAGTGAAAACAAATGTTAGAGCACTTTATCCTTCCCAGAGAACAGTGAGGGTGGTTGGGGCGATGGAAGCTTTCTCTGTCCCCTTTTTCAAGGAAGAGGGCAAAGGGAAGTGGGGGATGTAATTCAAGGAAGGCAATACTTGTCAAATAAATCTGTTCCACAAATACCATAAAATTGTAAATGTAGATAAACAAAGAAAGGAAAAAAGTCGGGGACCAAGAACTCACAGTATTTCACATATTCTTTGCACTTAAGACCAGGTTAGAAATGAATCACACTCCCAAAGTCTGTTTTTTGTTCCAGGTACCACAACTTTAGTGCTGGGCTTTGGAGGAGGAGGTGGAGGTGGGGAGGTGGTCATTCATACTATGGCCAAAACAATAATAGAAAATAAAATGTTTAACATGAATTGTAATATATGCTTTGGAACAAAATATTTAAAAATACCATATATTGATAGGGGAAATGGGAAATCAATTTTTTTTTTACTTAGGCTGCGTGAAAAAGTTCCCAAATTTTCTCTCTCTCTCTCTCTCTCTCTCTCTCTCTCTCTCTCTCTCTCTCTCTCTCTCTCTCTCTCTCTCTCTCTCTCTTCCGCCTTCCCCGCCTCCTCTCCTTCCTCCTCCTCTCCCCTCTTTCATTCTTTCCTTCTTTCTGAAGGGTCAGGACATTAGTTGGAAGGAAGGACCTAGGAAACACTTAGCTTGGAAATAAGAAGTAACACCACAACGTAGTAGATAGAAACTGAAGTTAAAGTCAGTCCAAAATGTGGCTTTTCTGCATGCTAGTCATGAATTACCCTGGGTAAGTCATTTAACTTCTGAGTTTCAGTTTCATTATATTCTCCATGGGGCTGATGGGACTCCATAAGACTGAGGATACAGAATACCAGCCACCTCCTGAGAGAGAGGTGTTTGGCCTCAAAATACAGAATAAGCCATACATTTTCAGAAATGGCCAGGGTGGAAATTTGTTTTTACATGACTGTGCAAACTTGTTACAAGGACTTTTTTCAATGTGTAGGAGGGAGACAGAATGGTGGCAATGGATAGGACAGCTTAAAACAAAGAAAAGAAAATTACATCACTGAAGAATTTGAATGCACAGAGGGGAATAGAAGGAATGCTAAAATGATAGGAAAGTAAGACAATTTTGAAAGTTACCTGTTGAATTTATTATAATTAAGACCTACACTTTCATGAGCAAGCCTCTTTTTCTGTTGGACAATTGCATGTATATGAAAATATGTATAGACGTGGAATTAGCCATTGTATTTTGTTTGTTAAGTTCAGAATTTTCTTTAAGTTAAAATAAAGGTGCTATAAATATTTTAGTACATTTAAATCCTTTCCCTTTTTCTTCGATTTTTCTAGAGTATAGGCTTAGTTGCAGTGACTCTTGATAGAGAAGTGATGGACTAAACATACAAAATGAGACACATTGAGCCAATGCAAAAAGATGTAAAAGAAAGAGAGGAAAGAAGGAAGAAAACGAAGAGAGAAAAAAAGTTAATTTTTAATAAAAAAGAGATGACGATAATAAATGTTCTGCCTACTTTACTGAGTTGTCAGTGAGAAGCAAATCTGATAGTATATGTAAAAAAGACTTTGTTTTTCTTTTTCCCCCCAATGGAGGGAGGTAGAAAGGAGAGAAAATGGATTTTAATTGAAATAAATTTTACAAATAATGTATGTAAAGCATTTTACTAATCAGCTGTTGTTACGATTAATAAATAGTGGCTGGCATAATAGCTATCTTCAAATTCAGAAGCATAATTAAGAATCGAGGCTGCAGAGGGCAGAAGAAAAGCCCTCCAAGGAGTCTCAGGGGGTATTAATTATAGTGAAATATACTTCAGCTTAATAAATGGAAGCCCATGTTAAAGCTAAAGATCTCAAACAATGAAATACGCTGTCTTGAGGTAGTAAGTTCCCCATTACTGAAAGTATTTAATTAGCAGCCTGGATGGCTACTTGTCAGAGATGTGGCTAGGCTATTCTTTTTTTTTTTCTTAATTCAATTATATTTTTATTTTCAGTTCCACATTCTCTCCCTCCCTTCGAGCCCTCCCCCACCCATTGAGAAGGCAAGAAATATGATCTCCATTATACAGATGAAGTCATGCAAAACATATTTCTGCATTAGCCATGTTCCCCCCACTCCCTCCCCCCCAAAACCAAGAAAAACAAAGAGAAAAAATATGCTTCAATCTGCACTCTGAGTCCATCAGTCCTCCATCTAGATGTGGAGAGCACGTTTCCATCATGAGTTTGAGGATATCCAAACATTGGGTTGGTTTTCAAAGATCAAATTCTGAGTCAAAGGTCTCTTTCTAAGTCAAAGATTCTATGAACTATGAAGCTGGCATACAGTGGGTGCTTAATACTTATTGAATGAATGAATGAAAGCTGAGAATCACAGAATGTCAGGGCTGGAAGAAAATAAAACATTTAAACTGGTTGTTAACCTAACTACAACTAGCATTAGTCCATTCATAATACTTCGTCCATAATAATTAGTCCCATTCATAATACAATGGGAGGGTATTTTTCAGGGCATTTTATTGATTCATCCAAGAATCCCCTAAGGAAAGGTATTATCATGCTCTTGATTTGGTAAATGGGGGAGTCCCTGGTCTCCAGGTCACTGACCAAATCATCAGTAGCACAACCTAAGCATGAACAATAATAGGATTAGATTCTACCAATTAGCTCACTATTATTTTCAGCAACTCTGTGAAGGAAGCAAATTGTCTGCAGATTAATAAGCAGTGGGTCAAAGAGGACAGGGAAGGAATCAATAAAAGCGGGTCTTTTGACCACCCAGTTCATACAGACGCTGTTCTGGGCTACAAAGGTCTGCTAAAATGAGGGCAGGGAGAGGCAGCTAGGTCAGGAGGACCTGAGTTCAAATCCGGCCTCTGATGAAACACTTGACACTTACTAGCTGTGTGACCCTGGGCAAGTCACTTAAACCCCAAATGCCTAAGAAAGATAAAAAATAAAAATAAAATGAGGGGAAGGGAAAAAAATCCATTGCTTCCTTCCCATATGCCAATTATTATTCTCTTCCAAAATAAAGGGAGGGATGCAGATTTCAGCCCTTAATTAAGAACATCCTAACAATTAAAGTTATCTACTTTAAGAAGGAGTGAGTCCCTTATCACCAGAAGTATTCTAGTTGAGGCTCACTGAGTAGAATTGTTCATGATTTACTTAAGGAAATGTTTATTGAATTGAGTTGAATGAATCATACTGATTCCCATTGCTTCAATGATGATCAATACTGATTCCCAAACCTTTATCTCTGGTGCCAATTTGACCCTTAAGCTCCAGTCTTGTTTCGACTGCCTTATGAATATTTCCAGCCACTTGCCCAAGCCAGAACCTAAAAATGACCAAGTCAAAAATGAATTCATCCTCTTTTAATGGTATAGTGGTAGGTATAGTGGAACTTGACAGTCAGGAGAGCTGCATTTGAATTCAGTACTCCCCAGCTGCATGACCTTGGGCCAATCAATTGACCTCTCATCATTGCTTTTCTTCTCTGAAAAAAAAATAGAAATAAAAATACTTGCAATTATCTACATTCCACATTTTGTTTTGTGAAAAATATGATATAAATGTGCTTTATGTTTATTATTGTTGGGATGTTGTGATGAAGGTTCATATTTCACAGTAGGGTTGCACTAGACAGTTTCCCTGCTGGGTCTATGAAACTCAAACACTCTGTCTTCTGTGAATCTGTGTCATATTCCAGACCCTGTGCCTGGTGCTGGGGAAAGAGATGAGAAATGGCCCAGCCCCTGACTTGAAGGGGCTTGAAGTTTAATGTGGCAATAAATACAACTCCATGAAGGATACCAAAACTTTGTAAGTATTGTCAGCTGTTGAGCACGCTGTTCTATACACAGAAGGTGCTAAATAAATGTGTTTGTCATTGATGAATCAGATCATAGAGTTTAGACCTGAAAGGAGACTCAAAGATAATCTAGTTTTTTTTTTTCCTGCCCACCTCCAACCCTCCCCCCCAACCTGTCCAAGGTCATAAAGGTCATAAAGCCAGGATTCAAACCCAGGTCTTCTGATGCCAATCCCAGTTCTTTTAATACTACCCTACCCTAATTGATCCGAACTGTTGAACTGAATGAAGGGGCAGTAACAGTTTTTCAATTTGTGATATGGAAGAAACATTTTCAAAATTCACATGAATTAGATTTCATTGAATATTATAAGTTTTCTAAATTACACATACAAATAAGACCTAACCTACCTAGGTCTTAGTTTCCTCCTTTGTAAAATGAAGCAGCTTGATCAGAAGATCTCTTTCAACTCTAAATCTTATGAGGTATGATCCTAGAACTAAAAAAACCTTTACTTTTGCACATGAGCCTTTTTCTTTGGTACTAATAAAGGCCAGAAACAGATTCTGTTAGCCCTCTTGTGTTTACAAAACACAAGATCTCATGCTTTGGTTCGCTTTTGAACTATTTTTCAAAGTAATGTTCTCAATGACAAAAAACAAGTCAAGAAACTGACACTTAGGAGAAATGGAAGTGACTTATCCAAGGTCACCTGACATGTTTGTAGCATGGCCAGGATAGTTTTTCTAGTTGAAGGTAAAGATAGGAAGTGATAGTGCTCTCAATGAGAATGACCTTTGTAAGTACAGCTTAGGTTTTCTCATCATACTTTCCCATGTGCACACGGAGAGTTTCCTGGCTGTTTCAACAATAAAAAATCCCAAAGGAAGACTTGGAAAGCTAAAGCCACTTGCACAGATTCTTCTGGAATGTTACTAACCAATCAATAAGCATTTATTAAGTGTTTGTCATGGGCTGGGTGCTGGGAATGCAAATACAAACGTGAGACAGACAGTCCCTGACCTCAAGGAGCAACATTTTCTCCCCCCTGATTCCATTTCAAGCCATTTGTTTCCCTCTCAGTTTCATCATTAAATGCTCTCAGGATGATCTAGCTAAATCAGTTGAATTGGAT